GATATCCCATAGATAGAGCTCGCCGAGCTGCATCTGGAACGCTAGTTGGAACGGTTGGAACGGACTCCTGGGCGAATCGCTGATGGAAGGACTCGAATCCGCTGCCAACTTCACTTACGTGATGGAAAGTGACAAATTAATGTTTAATGGTCCAATGGATGTCATCGACCATTTCATTCAAAATCGTTTAAAGCATGGTTTAGATATGGGTATTAATGAAGAATCTTTCGAACATTATGTTTATGATGTTATTGAAGTTCAATTACTAAAGTCAATCAATTTGTCCAATTTTGATTCACCACCTGATGATAAATGGACACAGATACTTTTTCCTACGTTTGACACTTGAATATTTATGCGAATCGATTGAATCAAATGATGTACGCATGGCAATTGGAATGTTTTCAATCTGTTGAGAAGATTTGTCAATTTGGTATAAATATAAATACATCGCATCGTCTTGGAACAGATTTTGGTCCTGGATTTTATTTAACAGATAATTTCGACGGTAAATTTTCTCGAATTTTGTACATATTCAGAATTGAAGTGTTATGAATATTTAGATGCTATATACATAGCTGCTGCCAAAAGTCAACGGAATCGAACATATATGGTGGCATTATCTGCTTCAAACTTCGTGATGTGGGCTTCAATCGATTCAATACTCAAGATTTAAATGAAACAACACAAGAGTCAACAAACAGCCTTCAATGGGTGAATTCTGTAAAACTATGTCGCTGTCGATTTATTGAATATCCCAAGTCAAGAAATCCGATGCTGGATCCGATCAGATTCCTGGAAAAATTCCGTCGATTATTACAAATTTTATGAGCTACCTTTCTAGCTATAATCTATGATGATCCTTAGAAAATTTGGAAAATTCATGTTTCGGATCCGAGACCATCGGAATCCAATGCGATTCAGTCGCCTGCATTTCATTGGATCCGTCGAATTCCTGTAGGATCCGAGTACGGGATTGATTGACCTGGGATCCCCACATGTGTTTCGACCGGACGCAATTCGTGGAGGTATATGCAACAAAGCGGAAAAAGTGCACAGATCTGGCAATGAAAAACCTTCAATGAAGATCTTACAAGGCCGTAAATCAATTCAGATATACGTTAAAAGTACCAATATGGCTGCCAAATTGGATTGTTCAATTTTTGGTATCTACATGTTTGGCGTCTCCACATCATAAAACTTTTTTTTTATTGTTGTTATCTCATATTTTCTTTCTGGATTCATTTCGCTGTTACTTCATTTAAATAAAGTTAGATATACACATTTAGCTCTTTCTTGAATTGCTAATTAGATTCCTGATGTTCGTGTAGGAAAGAAAAGTGAGAGGGACGAAGAAACGAGGAAGAAAATCCACATTTGTAATTTGTATGTCATGAATTCCATCAAATGTCGCGTTGCATACTGAACCGGAGACGAGCGTCCAATTGATTTCAATACAAGTACTACAAATTACAAAAGAATCAATAGTTTCAACGAATCATTCAAATGAGACATATGCTGTCGGCATTCATCTACAGCAATCATTCTTCCGTTTATTTTATTGATAGAAAGTTGATAGGAGTGATCGCTGATTTATATTGGTTTAATTTTTCAGGCTTGAATGAAAAAGTCAAACAATAGGAAATAGGATGAAGTATGTGGCAGTGCACGCAGGAAGAAATCATGTTTATATGTTATAAAAAGTAGGAAGTATATTTTTGTGAAAATATTTTCATAATTTTGTTACTCAAAGGCGAGCGATGAAGCATGTGGTTGTCTGATCGGACGCTCCCCCTCAGCCCTGGTTGGTCCATCAATGAACGAAATTATCAAAAGATTTCATCTGTTTCTATTGCGATCTTCGATTAATAAAATGATTAGAAAAACTAAAATAGCAGTAATAAATAACAATTGAAGAGCGCCGTATGCTGTTGAGATGTCAATCATGTAAATATCAAGCATTAAATATAATCCAGTTTGACCATCCTATTGATACTTTTAACAGATGCTTGATAAGTAGGGATCTAAATCAATACTTTGGACAAATCTATCTGAAAGAGTTTGATTATTTTCAATATCATATAAAATAAAACAGGCTCGTCGAGTAACTTTGACTGTTAGAACTCTTTCAAATAACTCCAAACTATTTAGAACAGATAATTACAAATTATAATTGGTAACAAGCATTCGATTCTCTTCGATGTAAAAAGATCACCTTTTTATCAATTCTATATTCTCGGTGATACTGATAAAATATTATAAATTATTTAGGCAACAAACGCGAGGTAACATGCTATATTAGATATGATGAAATTCGGATCATCATGAATTGTTCCGACAGCTAAAGCACATTTGTCAGTCAAGAATGGCTTATTATGTTCAAATTCTTTGTTGTGTCATTTACTATTCGTAATTGATTGGGGGCATTGTAATGGAACATCATACCCACACTTTCTTTTTGGTTATGATATACAATCACAAATATATAGGTGCAAAATATCTGTATTGTAAAATCAGTCGGGACTGAACGAATACATAATTAGGAGAATTATTGAAAATTGTTTTCATAAATCTTTGCGAACACGCCGCACTAATCGATGAAGAAGTACTTGCCATATTTGTAATCATAGTTGAATATTGAACAAATGCGGTGTCTGTTTTAGGTTCAACAGATTCGCCGTGAAAACCTAGGATTGCATCCAATGCACAAATATCATAGTCAATTTTTACATTCATTTGGAATTTCGACACAATATCAAAGCTATCGCAGTTGTGATAACCACAAACAAGATTAAACTCTGAAGACGTTCAGTAGTGTTAATGATATTCTCATGTCAGAACAGCCTCTTTCAATATCTGATCCTTTATCTGACCACAAAACAGCGCAAAAATCATGTCGACATTTGAATAGATCACATGATTCTAAATACGATCAAATATGAAAACATGGAATTGTTCAGCTTCACAAAGACTCACTTAAATTCCCATCTGTAACTTCTCCAACACATTATTGAATTGAAGAAGTTGTAACAATGAGCACATACGTATATACAGTATATTCAAGATGGTTTCAATGGGCCTATATATATATACGGCATTGGAAGTTGTTAGAAGAAACGAATGCTACTGCCTTAACCAAATTAGATTCTTTTTCTTCTTCGAAGTACTGCATTGATCATCGTGGAGTATGTACAGATGTGACAAACACGATACTTCATGCTTTTTATGATTAACGGACTTGGACGCTGCAGCTTTCTTTTTAAAAGTCGGTCCCCAAAGGGTTAACTTTACTATGATAACATATTTATGAAAGAAAAATTGGCGTGCATCATGAAGATTATTTTCCAAAGGATAAAAAATTGATAACATTGCGTAAATATCTTTGTAAATACCGTTGCATATACATTATTTTATGGCAAAGTCAAAGAAAGATTCATTTGATCACGTTACTTCCTTCAACCTCAAACTATAAAAACTAATGAAAAGTTGAATTGATTGTGATGCCACACCCTCAAGTAAAGAACACACAAGAAAGGACATGTGTAGTTGCGTCTATTGCGTCGTTATATATTTTTTTTTGTTAAATCAACTGAAGTATATATGTTATATATAATTTGAACGATAGTTGTACGCTTACGCATGAAATAGTTAGCTATTTATCTGATTTAGTCATAAAAACTATATAGCGCATTACTGTTGTATATTTTTAACCACTCTCGAAGAGGCACACAGGGGATTGGCTCAGCGCAAAGTACATTCCAGAGTAATCATATACTCTCATAATTTGTAGGTACGATCATGCATAAAAAAGGCTTCTATAATGTTGCAGACATCGCATGTATTTGACATATTTCATTATAAAGATGTAATTTTCCATTCTATAGAAAATTAATAAAGAAAAGAAATTAAGACAGAAGTTCAATAAATGTTAAATCTGCCTTATTTAAACAAAAATATAATGTCAATATAATATATATATACATACATATATATTCTTTTTGAAAACCTATTTTCGTCTATTGCTATAAGAACAGTTGTAAGCCATTTTACCAGACTAGATCTCCGAATGAGTATTTGGTCGACTGAAACAACGAACAATTCTCGATATCAACAGCACACACTTAATCCAGCAATACGATGTGACAGTGCATCGCAAAATAGTCGATCTCTTAGTCCTGATATCGACAATTATTCAAACAATATCAGACGAAAAGGGTATTGACAAAAAACGTTAAATCAAAAAATTAATATTCCGATATATGATTATTAGACAAGTTCGACGGACGCGAATTTTCCAAAAGTGTTCATTAATAGAACCGTTCTGGTGTGGTTTACTGCTAGGCATTCTACTTGGTTGCTTAATTTTAGCGACTTGTATTGCACTTTGGTTAACGTCCGACCAAACGACTACAAAAGCAACAAGTAGGTTTAAACAGTTGTTAACTACGAACGAAGTATTGCTTGCTAGAAGTTATTTTGTTTTTGGAAGATTCCTTCCTTCATTACGAATTTATTGTATGAAGATTATATGATGCTTAGTCTCACTTCTTCTCTCTACTCACTAGGAATATTCAGTGAGGTTTATCGTGGAATCTACTAATAAACGGCATTTTCGTAATACATTTAGCTATTACAACTCAGACGACAACATCCCAAACAACAGTGACAACAACAACCAGTACAACTTCGGTGACAACAACGACGACCACAACTTCAGTAACAACAACAACAACGAGCACTTCAACAACAACGACGACGACAACTACAGAAACAACAACAAGCACTACACAGCCAGTAATCTGCCCATCAGCAGTCTGGCATCCGAATGGTACTACAGTTGCTGGATCATCCAATGGCATACATGGTTCACAGGCATCATTATTAAACGGAGCATATGACGTTCGAGTTGATTCATCATTCAATGTTTATGTAGCAGACTTCTACAATTACCGTTTTATGAAATAGGCACCAAATAGTACAAATGGGACAGTCTTTGGTCCACAAAGTGGTTATGGATTTGGAGACACAAATCATTTGAATACAGCTACAACTCTAGCTTTCGATTCAACCGAATCAAGTGTGTATCTATCGGATACATTCAACTGTCGTATCCTTAACATGGATCTGACAACAGGCAATACTTCAGTTGTCATTGGTTCTGGATGTGGGAAAGCATTGAATCAATTCTATTTGTGTGACGGGCTACATGTCGATCGTTAGTATTCTTAATATTCCTTTGATTAATACAAAAAAATTAAATTAATTCTTATTTTAAACAGGTTTCAATAATATTTATGTTGCAGACTGGACCTATGATCGTGTACTCAAATTTTCTCCCAGCTCAAACAAATCTGCCAATGGCGTCATTGTTGCTGGAACTGGTGTGGCAGGTGTATCTCTCAATCAACTGAATACACCGTGGAATATTTATGTTGATGAATCTGACAACGACACATTATACATTTCAGATTATAACAATCATCGTGTTATGAAATGGCTGTCAAACGCTACAAATGGTACAGTTGTCGCTGGAGGTAATGGTCCCGGCTCGCTCTATACACAATTAAATCTTCCACAAGGTATTTTTGTTGATTCATTCGGAACAATCTATATCGCTGATTATGGCAATCATAGAATAATGAAGTGGAAGAAAAATGCACAAAATGGGACATTAGTAGCAGGTATTTCAGGTTCACCTGGAACCTCACCAGCACAATTAAATAATCCATCTGGTATTGATTTTGATAAGAATGGAAATATGTATGTTTCTGAATATTCAAACCATCGTGTTCAACGATTCAAGATTGACAACACCTCCTGCTAAAATAAATATACAAAACAACTTTTCTTTTTGAATATTTCCTAACATTTCATATTTTTCTTGTAATATATCTTAAATAACTCGATACTAACAAGAATGACACTTTAATCTAATATCATATGTTGAAAAATTTTTTCTTCTTCATATAATGTCAAAAAATGAATACTCTATCATTTTGCATTCTTTCGTTTTCTTTCAAACTAAAGTTATCATCATAAAATCCGAATAAAAAAAAACATGAAAAATCACTCAAGTCAACAGTATCACTGTGAAGCTAGCATGACGCAAAGATGTATTGCCTAAAAGTTCTTTTACTGAGTAGGTCCTGTTCATGAAAACTGCACCATTCGATGCAGAATTAAAATCTCAATCGAATGAGCTAGATTTTATAGACGAGATAAAAATGTGTTGGCTAACACATCGTTTCGTCGTGCTGGCTTCATAGTAATGATCGAAAATATTTAGTAATGTCAAAGATAATTTGGACTTCAAATTCAGGCACTCTTATGTTAGTACATCCTATTTCAATATCTGGCCCATTGTCTGACCATGTAGATATGAACACATAAATCTGTTGAACTTCACAAAGACTTATCAGAATTCTCATCTTCACTCTCAAGTTATTCCAAAGTAACTTTTGCGAAAGGTTCGCACTTTGTTTGAAGAAACCAGTGCATATAATCAAGTATAAATTGTATATCACGCAGATCAACATTTGAACATTCAGCTATAAGATCATTGACAAAATATGTTTCGTTTTCATCCATAACTTCTATAACGGTGCTCATATCCACAATACCAACGGATACTTGCTCTGTTTCAAGAATTTGAATAAATTACAACAAGAATAAGTTTTCAAAACAGGAATCTATCATTTGCACACGACATTCAATCTTTCAAGTGTAGCTTTGAGAGTAGTTCGATTGAATCCAATTGTAGACATGCGCTCTTCTTTGTCGGATTCAAGATCACAATTCTTGATAAATGTTCTTTGATTCTGCTTTATTAAACTGTCAACAACAATGTCAGCTATTAACGACAAATAATCAGACAACTCTCTCATTTATTAATAATTGTTTTCTGATGCAGTTCAGTATTTACTTCACCTGGCTTTTCTTATGATAGGATTTGGGCGTGTACTTTTAGCTTGCATTTGAAATTGAATTTGAATAGGAAGCTATTTTAATCAAATGAAACTTTCCGTTCTTCGTAATACACACCCTCACCCTCACCCTCGTTTTCTGTTGAGTATAGAAAAGATTTTCTATCCAGAAAAAATATTGCCTCGAAAATCACTTGACTCCGTAATTCTCACGTCAATCAAGAAAACTCATTTGAAGCTGCTTAATTTTGAGAATGTTTCTTTGGAGAATAAATAAAGATTTCTCATTTGTCTATATTGTTCAGAACAGATAATTGTCGGTTGTTTTTTTTATTCTTCAAATTATTAAAACAAAAATAAGGAAACAACAAAACCCTGTGGAAGCTTCATTTCTTTTCTGTGACTATAATTGCTTCATAAAACTAAATCGAAATTTTAGATCCAATGTGCGCCGTCACCAACATAAAAGTTTCCTTCCACATCAAAAACTAACTCGGTAGGAGTAGACAATTGATTTGAATATCGTCCGGACTCACTTCGACTTCTTTCTCTTCTTCGCTCCAATGCATTATTCGATAATTCAAACGATCTGCCACATAAATTTGACCATCGTTATCAACAAACAATACGTGAGGAGAAATCGTTGAGATCCGCCCTTTCCATCATTGATACTGGATAGTAAACAGGATCCTTTCAACATCGAGAATGATTAATGTAGATATGATCTGGATTCGAACATTCTTGAGGGTGTGGGTGTGGATATGGTAGTGTCCAGACTCAGCCATCATCATCATCATCATCATCCCTTGACATTCTGTCATCTTCGGTAACAAATCGTGTTTGATAACAACTATTCTATTATTATTCATTTTATTGTGATATTAGTTTCGATTAGTGTTCAGAAGAAAGAAAAAAGACACTCAAAAATGATTAGAATTATACGTATTGACTGCATAGGAAAAAAAAGTAAACCTAACACACATACATGTACAAAAGTGAGACATTCTAATTCTAATAACATGAATGAAATGTGTACTTGTAACAAGTGGGTAAAATTTCCGAAAAGAACACTAGTCAAAATGAAAAGATTGTCACTACAAACACTACACCATATGAACAGTAATGTGTTTTTTTTTCTACAGAAGATTTCAAATAAAAATAGTAATACTAAAAATTATTCAATAGAGATAAGAGACATAAGAGTACTGACAACAGTCATAGAGAACATTGATGTCTATTTACAAGCAGAAAAACATGAATTCGTCTAGGAAGAATTATATCAGATCTTGAAGAACACAAAACAAAAATAGGCTTATGGTTGACTAGTCTGTTAACTATTCACATGAATTGCATTTGACCAATGAAATATTATCTGCTTTGTCATTGAAATTCTAGTAAACCCAACTAACAGGTACCCACTGAGATTGATGACTAACTCGTTCAATGGCATATTGCAACTATGGAAAGAAAATTTATCACTCGAAATAAATCAAACGAGCGAACTTACTGCACGAATAGTCTCTTCGATATCGTTATTAACAATGATTAAATCGAAATAATGGCCATAGGCTTGTTGCAACAGTTCACTTTCTTTTACCAACCGTTCTAAACTTTCATCCTAACCGAATAAAATATAAAGTGAAAATTTGAGCAAAGATTCGTATATCTTACATTGACACCTTTGATTTGGGAAAGGTCCGGTGCAGCAATGAAAACAACATACGGTGCAAATTCAGCTGTACGTAAGACCTTCAATGCTTGTGGTTCTACATCGAGAATAGCCATGAGACCTTGTCGATTAATGTTTCGTATCGTTTCTAATTTCGTTCCATACATGGCATCATCATGTGTGCCGTACTCGAGATATTCGTTATTCGCTATATCACGCATCATTTCTTCGTGAGTAACAAAAAAGTAATTTTTGCCGTTTTCTTCATCTTTCTTCGGCAATCGTGTCGTATCTAATCAAAAGAAGTTTTTATTTCCAAACGGATGATCCAGATATATTTACGTGGAATTGGATAAGCAAAACGTTTTGGTTGACTAGTAATCAGTGTGTTTTTTATATGACGACGACCAACACCGTGTGCTCCAAGTAAAACGAGCGTTTTCCGACGGAATTCAGGTAAACGTATGACTTCTTCGTATGTCACCAAATCAAGTTGATCAAACACCGCATTGTGTTTAGCCAAGTATTTGTCTCTCATTACTTTTCGTTTACGTCCAAACACACCACAATTAGCTAGCAAAAAAGTCAAAATCGATCGATTGATCATCAACTCTTCCGACTTCTTACCATTTCCATCTTTCGCTTTATCGATTGCATTCGTCGCAATTCTCCATTCTTGTAATTCGGGAGATGGTATCAATCCTGCTGGTGAATTATCATATTCGCCATGATAGCTATTGATCATTCGTTCGTCGATGTGTCGATACGATGTCACTTTTTTGCCTTGCCACCAGTTATGATCATCTTTGGAAATGATTTGAAGAATATCTCCAATGACAAATTTAATTCCTGCTTGTGCACTTGGAATTAAATCATCATCTTTTGGATCGTAGTGAAACAAAGCTTTGACATAGATCTAAATGAAACCAAATGTGAGATAAAATGTTATTATTTAATCTATTCTCATACATCACAAGGTGGTGGTTGACTTCGATAACTTGGCACTATTTTGAATGTTATACTACCACGAGCATCTTTCTAAAAGAAAAGCCGACGGACAAATGAAGAATTTCTTTCGGTGTACAAGAACATACCAGCATTTGTTGTAAATATTGAATCGGATGGTTTGAAACCGGCTGACCGTTGATTTCTTTGATTTCGTCACCTACATGTAATGTACCTTGACGATGTATCATACCACCATTGAGTATACGCGAAACAACACATCGTTTGTTTTCCGTCATACGAAGTGTAATACCCTAAGTGAAAAGTAATTTATTACACGCGTTCGACAAGATTTCTTTGTGTTTACTAGTGGTTCATCGGTATTTCGTTGAAATTGAACAAGTCGTATACGCGTAACATCGCATATGTTATCGGTTACTCCATTATCACCAGCAACTCGATTTTCATCTAACACACTACTACCATTGTGGCCACCGTAGTCATTATTGTAATTAGTGTCTGACGTTAATGTGTTTTGGCCAAAAAATGCCGGTGTAACACGTATGGCGCCATCGCCATAAACTTCTTGAGCAACAACATCATGTGCTTGTAAAAGTGACTAAGACGAAAAAAATAAGTGAATCAAACAAAATGAACGACACATCTCAAAAAGAATATATCTTCACTGTACGTACATACCATTCTCTCGATAGCTCTGCTTACAATTAAGAGAAACTAGACATCTATTGATCTCGATCAAAGAACAATAATACTATGATGGGTTCTTTTCTAAAAAGAATAATATTATTTCTCCACACTTCTTCTCTTCCTTTCTCTTTTGGAATATTCTGTCTTCTGAGCATTGGAGAGTGCATGTCTATTAATCGTTTCTATGTTATCACAAATCCATCGGAGAAATAGATGAGCTTGATTGATCCCGACGGTTATTGTGGCAATATTTAATTCAATCGCGTTTTTTTTCTTCTATTCACAAAATAAATTCAATACTCCAATCTATCTTACTTGTTTCATGTGTTCGAGTGTAAAATATAGTTTTAAACTCCGTTCGTCCATGATGATAGTAACCAAAATAAAAATCATACTTTTTCCAGTTAAATCAGTCCAAAGTGGACAAAAAATTCTCATTCAATGCTGTCGATCACTGTTCTTATCGTTAGCGATAATCAAAAAAAAAGGCACGATAGAAAAAAAAGATGGCAAGTAACAGAACAAGAAGAAGAAGAGGAAGAAGAAGAAGAAGAAGCAAATGATTGGATTTCAATTATCCATCTTTGTCTCTTATCGTTTTCAGACTATTCGAATCTACACATATTCATACCTGTATATGTGGTTCCAAAAGAATATTCAATAGATCATGAGTATTGCCAGATGTGTGCTGATAAGAACCTTGTTCAATGGCAGTTATTATATCCGAGACAACCTGTACAGCATTTGATTCCGGAGTACTATATGGGCGAATTTCATCTGAATTGATGTGATCATATAACTAAACAGAATGAAATTGCAAATAGAAAATGTTTCATTTTCGAAAATTACTTCAAGTAGTGTTCGTAGTTGTTTGTCTTCGAACAATTTCTGAAGAAAATCAAGTTCCACACGATCACCAATTGTTAACCATTGAGTATCTTCTAGCGAATCCAATATTTGCGAAACCGCTAAATAAATAAACAATGGTTCGAACAGAATATTCTCTTGATTTTCATCCAAACAATGAACTCAAATCGCGCGATGCGCAGAGAAACGCAAAAGAAATAGATCAAATTAATCCAAATCATACGCATCAATAAAGCAAGAATCAGCCAAAGGCTGTTCATCTAGACCTCATTGCCAATGAGTGCATTGGATTTAAAGGAAATATGATCGTGATGATGAGAATGAAATCGTTTCTTGCGCGAACGACTAGTCAATTTGCTAGGTGCATATTAATTGCGCACAAGAAGATTTCCTTTTAATCTATCAGTAAGTAAATAATCGTCGCTTTTTCTCGTAAGATACTTCAATAAGAAGGATACAGAAATAAATCAAAGTTAATTGTTTCTCAACGTCGACGGACAAATAGGAACTGATTTCTATTAATTATAACGGAAAAGAGGAAACGCCTGGTGCATCGCTTTTTATTCTTTTTTCCCTTAACTTAGCATTAGCAGACACTATTTTAACGCTCTAATTATAGAAAATGGCGAGTTGTTCAACATCAAAGAGTTGTCAATTTACTGTAAAATGCGATAATTCTATTGTGGTTCTAAACACAAACGATTGTTGTTGTTGTTTTCAATGTACTTTCTTCCATCGAACGAAAACCTCCTTAATCCGATTACCGGATGCCGTCTGATAGGAAACTATGAAGTCTTACCAGATGACGCCATATCATCAAATTCATTTAACGATGGTGTTGCCAATGTGTGTCCTGGCAGACCCGATGATGAATTCGACGTTGTCATCAACGAGTGAAACGGTAATTGAGACCAATGAGGACTGGAAACAGCTGCTAAGACTACGCCCTAAATGGATCGATTATTTGTTTGATTAGTAGGAAAAACGCGTGCAAATAATACATACTTTCAGTTTCCTTCTGGCGTTGAATTTGCGAAGCTCTTCGACAGTGTCTGGTATATGTTTTCGCACAGCAAATTTTTCACGCTCCTGAGAAGAAATCAAATAAAACTCGTGACTTTTATCAGTGAAGACAATTTATTTTCTACGGGTGGTTTGATTCTTATATACATAGAAATTAGTTAAATTATTTCCGTCGCTTTTCTTTCATGATGAAACCTAAATTTATAGGCGTCAAAGCAGAGAAAAAAGTACATCTTTTCACTTTTTCGATCATCAATTAAGGATCAAAAGATTAGTTTCACTTACTCGAATCCATGGATGTGCAAGTGCTTCTTTTATTGTTATTCTTTCATTTTGATCAAAACATAATAGACGAGAGCAGAGATCTTTGGCTGATTCGGATATTTGATCCCATTGTCGGCTTTGCATCTACATACAGACAAATTCGATCATTGAACTTCTCATAGACAAAAACTCGACATGACATACACTATAAACACCTGTGGAAATCATTTCAAATACACGATTCTTTGTACCAGCAAATGGTAATGTGCCCGTGAGTAGAACGTATAACATAACACCTAATGCCCACATATCTACTGGTCGACCAAAGCCGGGTGATTCTCGATTGACTACTTCTGGTGCCATGAATGCCGGTGTGCCGATTCGACTAGCTTGGATTATACCTGATTCCGGTAATTGTAAGGCTACACCGAAACCACCTAGTTTAACGGGTGCAGCATTTTCTTTCGAAGATAGTAAAACACAATGCGGTTTCAGATCACGATGAATGATGCCACGGTCATGAATATAACGAACAGCTTCAAATATTTGGCGCATATAATGACTAGAAAGATGTATGAATAGATAAACGATCGAATAGTATCGACGAAATGCCTACCTAGCAACAGCTTCACTGTAGACAAAACCAGCTAGAGCACGTTTTTCAATTTCGAAACATAGATCCGCACCGTCCATACTAAAATAGTTGAGACCGATCAATTAGATGAAGTTCAATTTGACACCAGAAAATCAGTTCCGCAAAATTCGGCATTTTTCATCATCAGAATCAATATTCACATTAGAAATTCGATATATGTCAGCTCATCTTTCGCTAAAACAATATTTATGTATACATAAGTCTTAACGTACTATTCGAAAACCATAAATAGACATCCTTCAGATTCGAATGTTTCATACAGTTCGACAACGTGAGGATGTTTAAGGCTTGCACAAATGGTTGCTTCGCGTTGTAAATCTAAACAATGAACAATAACAAAGAAAAAGATCATATCCTTTTCAATATTCTTTCAAAAACAAGTTTTACCTTCGGCTGAAAAGCCTGGCGTAGTTGTAAATTGTTCAATATCGATGATTTTAACTGCAAATTGTTTGTCGCCTGATTTGTTCGTACATCGACGGACTACACTAAACGGACCCCTTCGAAACAAATGAAACGTAATTGTGACCATAATTATCAAAGAATTCAGCCTCCTTACTTTCCAATGATTTCATAGAGATTGTACAAGTCCGAAAAGCAAACTGATGATTGTCCTTCATCATCAGGTAAATTTGTTGTTGTTTCTAGATGCATATTACCATTGAACAGATGCTCATTATAGATAACTGAAAAAGAAGGAAAAAAAGACAAGGCAAAATTTCTTTTTCTCTTTGTTCCGAATATGATCGAATAAATAAGATGATGAAGAGTAGAACCAGTCACGACATAAGTGTTCAAGTAAGAAACTAATCAGGCTAATTTGATTGCATTTTCTATCATCTTAACATGACAGATCCGAAGAACAAGAAGATACAGCAGGGGTAATAACAATTAACACTAACCAATCAGAAACGAGTGTAAAATGTAAACAAATAACAACATGAGCATTTTGTTTGAAATATGAAACAAAAAAATATCGCTCATGAAATTCATTTTCTCTCGATGTGATCAAATCCAATCGACAAAGTGGATTCGATGTCAAACACGAAAAAAGAAAGTACCTGCCAAGACACTTGACATTTCACTGTTCCGCTACGCCCTCTTTCGTTAGAAAATCACCTCGAAAAACAAGTCATTTACTCGAAAAAAGTAATTATTTTTTGTTTTTCGTTACGATCAACTGACGTTTAATACATATACTGATATGCAATAACAACAGACGCAAATAAATACACACGTGCATACATCAGTCATTTTACTTTACGCGATCGACAATGTCGATGTACAACGCAAAAAAAGAAGAGAATCACATGTTTTGTTTTCTTTCTTCGAACGACTCTTGGTGCTTAGACTTTTTTTTGTTGTCAATAGTCAGCTGATGTGCTTCTACGTATTTTTTTCGTACTATTTATTATTGATTAGGATTACAGAATTCTAGATATTTGAAAAGAATATACGACTCTCTTTTGAGCAATGTGTTCACCATCGCCTGGTAAACGACGAATAGATACCGATGTTATCAAACTGTAAGTTTCGATACACGAAAAAAGTTAAACTTGTTGACTATGCCCTCCACTGTTTAGAATTGAATCAAAACATCAGGTCACACTCATATCTGGTCTCAATGAGTTTATGGTCAAATTTGCTGGACCACATGAAAGTAATTTTGACCAAGTTTGGTTTTCCGAAAGAAATGATCGCTTTGTTTCATAGCCCCATATGAAGGTGGCGTATGGAATATTCGAGTCGATCTGCCCGATAAATATCCCTTCAAATCGCCCTCCATCGGTATGTAAAAAGAATGAACTTTACAGTCAACATTCACCTACACAAACATAACTTGACTTTGAACTCCGACTTTTTTTCAATATATTCTATTGATGCATGTTATCGGAGCGATAATTTCTACTATTTGCACGCACGAAACTTCGATCGAACTGAGAAGAATTTCTATATTATATTTAGGTTTCATGAACCGTATCTTTCATCCGAACATCGATGAAATGTAAGTCATGCAAAGATTTGAAATTTTCCCATTGATTATCTTACATTTCATCCAACAGGTCCGGTACTGTTTGTCTCGATGTGATTAATCAAACGTGGACACCTATGTATGGTAAGTGGATCTATCGAATAGCAAAACGTCACGAATTGACTTCGCATTTCAATAGATCTTGCCAATATTTTTGAATCTTTTCTTCCACAACTACTTGCCTATCCAAATCCGGTGGATCCGTTAAATGGTGACGCTGCAGCTCTATATCTTCACAAACCTGACGATTACAAGAAAAAAGTGCGAGGTAAGCGAATGCACGTTTTCAACAGCAAACAAATATTCATTTGATTTGTCACCGAATAGAGTATGTTCAACGATTCGCGACAGCTGCTATGGCAGAAAGTTTAGCGGCAACGATCAACGGTCAACAATCATCGACAAATTCAACGAATGACACAAACAATTCCAATCTAGCAAACAAAAATGAATCAGACGATGAAGTATTAAGTGATTTCAGTGAAGACGAAGCCGCGAACATGGACTTAGAATAAGACAAAACCTTTTGCTTTATGCATATACATATATTCTACTTTTGAATTATTTTTTTTTCAGTTTTATGTTTCATTATTACCATCACCTATACATATTATCATATCTGTTCCATTTTTAATGCGCACAAGAGAAACATTAGGCGATTGAAAGAGCAGAATCGATTTCAGTTTCTTTCCTTTTGTAAATAAAGATTCTTGCGCGCTTTTGTTCTTTAATGCTTTGAAAACTCATATACAGTATTTCATTTTCTTTTCTTCTTTTCGACCGCTGCATACTTGTAAATTCTTGCTCAGGTTTCGACTCCTATTTTTCTTTGTCTTTTTCGCGTAGATCGAACAGTGTCTTAGCAATATGCACTGCTTTCGTTTACATTAGACTACCCATATAGACTGCACTAACATCGCCATTCATAATATCTTGTATTTCGAGTTTTCATTAGCATTTATTCGAGAAATAAAACCAGTGTTTATTTTAGCACGAACATCTCCTGTTCATTTTCATCGAGTACATCCAATCAAGGAGAAATGTACTCTATTGGGAATGATGAATGACATATATGTGGAGACGCTGGAGTACAATTAGTTTTTTTTTCTCGGTATGATTAATAATAGATGTGCATTTGTTTCCTGGATGGGGTTTATTCTTCTCTTTTGGAATATAGTAGGACATTATATGAGATGAAAGTAGTTTAAGGTCGCCATCTATGACACCTGATGTAATGAATCTATATCGAGAGAGACTTTTGTAACTTTTAGATCGTGATTGTCTTATTCAAACGAATCAGACGAGAAAAACACACGTTTTTCTTCCGAACTTAGTCGGACATTTTCTCAGCTATCGTAGTTTATCGATGAGTTAGAGCCCAACAATCTCGTAAAACGTACTTTATTATCCACGTTATCATTATTCTTTTTTTTTTGTTCAAGGAAAGAGATAAGAACACGAATAGAAAAAGAAAACAGAATAATAATAGCAATAATAATAATAATAATAATAAGTCGACTTCGGAACAAACGTTATAGTGACAAAGAAAAACAAAGAAAAGTTGTTTTCTTAGATCTTCTTCGCCTAGATGAATCGAATATTTATAATTTGCTCTTAGAAAATGACACACGAAGATGCATAGAATCTCCTAGACGATAATTATGCGTATTCTAAATACAAAATGCACATCAAAATTCGTTCTATGACAATTGCGAATACATACAATTAATGCTGCAATGGCTTGTTCGATAGTTTCCATTTCGATCAATGCCATTTTATGATCTTTTTCAAAGAATTTGAATCGTTTTATTGTACCATATTGCGCGAATATATTCTGAATTTCTTCTTCACCTGTTTCCGTTCTGAAAAACAAACCAAACTACTCGGTAAAAAAAAGGATGAAATCGAGTGGACATACGGAATATTCGACAGATGTAGAACGGCTCCAGGTGGGAAAATATTATTATAATTTTTCGATCCAGGTTTTTTGAAACGATGTAATGGAGAATTTGTGAAATCTTTTGTTAAGCCCATATCCTAGAGAATCAATACATATGAAATGAAGACGTTTTTGTTCGTACTTACTGATGTGCCATCTTTTGGCATTTGTACGAATTGGTGCTTCGAAAAACTAACTCGTATAGATTTACCGAATATATTGACGTGATCGAGATTTTGATGAGCTAGATCGTTTTAGAGTAAATGTTTGAAGTGTACTCACTGGTTCCTACTTACCGACAGCTGCTTGCTGTGGAGTGGCAAATTGAATTAGCGCAGAGTCCTTTTTGTTAAATAGAATTTTCACCCGGTGCACGTCGCCATAAACACCTAGGGGAAAATTGAAGAGTATGTGTCGTGTGAAAGATCTATTCCTAGTTGTCTATCGAGAATGAGAAAAGAAAGAGAAGAAACACGTACCGAATAATGTGAATAAAGACTCTGGAGTGGTCATCTAATCGTCCGAAAGAGGAAAAAAAGAATGAAATGAATAGATTTCTAGCTTATATAAGAAAGTAAAAGAGTTGAAGATGCAAGAGCGCACTCGAGTTACTTACGTCTTCATTTAGATTCGATACAAGGATAACAGGCCCATTTTGAACGGGCATCATGTGAGGATTTTGTTGTTGATGTGCTTGAAGATGAGCTGGTGGTAAGCCGTGCATAGATGCAGGTGGAGGAGGAGGATGACTGGAACCGTATGGATGACCATATGGAGCAGCTGAAGCACCGACCATTGGATTGTAAGTAGCAGATGTTGGTGGAAGCGGACTCATTAGATGACTGGCATTTCCTGAAATAATGCAACGTATTGGATTAGATGATAGAAACTGTTTCGCGGAGTCATACCTGACATGTCGTATCCTGGAGCCATTCCACTTCCTGAGGGTGGTCTGCCACGAAGTCCCGCGGAGGCTGTGTAGTAGTCTGCAAATATATACGTAACCTTTGGAGAAACAATGGTGAAAGAATTCGATTACCATAACGATAATCTTCGCTGGATGTTGATCGTTGTAGAGGAAGAAGACTAGGATTTGAATGCATACGATCTAGTGAATTAGGAACAATAAAGGAATGAATAGAGAATCATGTTACAAACCTAATTCTGGTGGTTGACTCATGTTTCCTTCATTGGAAGGTAATGTTGGATTAGTATAGTCACGACTTTTATCATTATTGTATTTAACAGTAAGAGAATGCAGCTTAGAATATTCAATTTGAAGCTAAATACCATACATCGACAAGTCCATATAAAAAAGTCGACATTTCTACAATCTACTTACAGTACAACAGCCATTATAGATATTTTGACCATGTAGTTGCTAGAATCGAATGAAAGATGCTGCAGGCTATCTACTTTTTATTTATTTTTGGCTTACCACCATAGCCTGAGAAGCAGCATGAGGATCTTTTAATTGAATCAACGCTTGAAATTTTTCTAACGAGAAAAAAAAACAAATCGTTTCTCTTCGCCATATCGCAAAATTCACTTACCATTTTTAGTGAATGTGATTAATTTCAATACTGTACCAAATTTGTTAAAAATCTATGAAATAATCTCATTAACAACTTCATTTTCCTTTCGAAACTGTCATACTTGATATAACACATCCATTGTAACAGGATATAGCATGTTTATAATCGTGACACGCAATACACAATTCGCTCCACCTTTCTGCGCAGTTTCGTACAGATCTGTAGCTTGTGTTAGTGCTGCGAATGCTTGTTGATTTGTACGATTAGTGGGGTCTGTACGGAGTTCACCATGATTCGAATACTGTGCGAACACTTGCCGACCGCTAAACATAGTTGGCATAGAAGTTAAGTACTCAACCATTTGTTTGGCCGAATCCGTGGAATCAAATTCCAAGAAAGCCTAGAATATCGTTTGATTTGCATTAAATAAGAAAAAAGAAAACAGTTGGTTTTACTTGAGATTTTTTCTTTAAATTCAGAAAATTAGTTACACGACCAAATGGAAGACCAAGTTGTACAACTTCGAAATCATTGGCTTCGATATTTCTCAAATGAACAACGCGAGACGGTAGTACAGGTTCTGATCGACTCTAAAAGCAACTCATTGGCATTCTTCTATTCCAAATCGTTTTTTCATTCAACATACTTTTTTCGAAATATCAGCTGTTTGCGAATTCGAACTGCCAACACCATCGCCGTTTGTATCAAACGCATCGCTTGAAAATGTACGCTATAATCAGAAATGCAGGTAAAATTTCATTTGATCTTATGCATATGTAATGTCTACCTTCATGTTAATCTAGAGAAAGACGATGAAAAAGTCAGATAAGATGAAATTCAGTCATTCTAATCATACATTACTTGAGCACAGACGCAGACACAAGTCTGTAAGCTCGTAGTTTGATGTTGGATGAAACGTTTTGAAAACTTTCTACACTGTGTTTTGGATTTTTTGTTTCTTCAGAGAAAAAAAACAAAACGATCAAAACGGATATTCACAAGGCAAACACCTCTGATTTATCTTTATTTTCTCTTTACCAATGAAATTCGATGATAAGCGAAGGAATGAACCAATGGACAAAGTCGATAGATAGGGCAACTGAACATATGGCTAGAATTGGTCAATCAAAGTTTATTTTTCTCATTTTTCATTATCGATCGATAATTGATCGTACTTGACATACTAGATCCTTGTGTGAAGATTTGTTGACGCATACAGCCAGTAGACGACTGAATGAGTCATTCGTTGTCGGAAGAAAAGGAACTATAAAAAAATAATGTCTTATATAAATGGAATTTTCCAACTAAATTCACAATCAAAACTGTTGTTCTTCATTTTAGTATCGACATGGCGATGAGAAGTAAAGAACAAATTATGAGGAGTTTTATTGAAGTTACCGGTTGTAATGCCCGTCGAGCACAGAACTTTTTGAGAGCTGTTGATTGGAACGAGCAAGATGCAGTAGTTCTGTTTTTGGACACTAATGAAACTGAACAACCTTCTTCTCCTAGTCCAGTTCCAGGTGAACAACCGCTAGACGATTCAAGTTCGTATTTCTTCGATAATATCAAATGACACTTACATGATATCGATCACTAGGTGAAACTACTCGAAGTAAGCGTAATGTTTACCAGTTTAACGATGATTTACCTAAAAATGCCATTGAAGACGGTTCACGCGTTAGATTTTCCGATGAGCCACCGACCGTGTATCCAATTCCAATAGATCGAAATAAATCCAACATAACATCCAGAATTCATGCTTTTCAGAACTGGAGACAACAATCAGACAATTCAGATGATTCGGATGATGAGGGTATACGTACGACACATACGAATGATGGAAATCTATGCTTTTTATTTGATCTAGGTCAACCTTTTTATGTCGGTGGTTCAGAACGAAGTGGTCAGCAAATAATTGGACCTCCGAAAGACAAAGATAATGATAAACGAATAGCTAATGTTTTTGACTCTGCTCGTCGACAAGGTGCTCGAGAAACGGCCGATGGTGATGATGAAACAGCATCGTCATATCCAAAGAGAGAGCCATTTTCTGGCACTGGATATTCTCTAAGTAATATTCACAAACTACAACAAGATGAAAGTTGTAGATTTTTGTCATTCTTATCCATTCAGATGACAATCCTGTACCTTCTCAGCCACAGAATGCATCCGCATCAGTTACCACTAAGAAAGTGGAACAGGTACCGATACGCTTTTATTCCAATGGATTTACTGTTGGTGATGGCGAGTTACGCTCGTTCGAACAGAATAGAGAATTTATTGAATATATCAAACGCGGGGAAATGCCACCTGAACTTCGCAGCATGAACAACAATAGTCAGCAAATTGAGGTAAGGAACATAGTAAAGTTGCAATTGAGGCTATCCTTTAATTCAGGTCAGCCTTGAAGATCATCGTGGTGAAGAATACAAACCTGTTGCCCCAACGTTCAAACCATTCACAGGTACTGGCCATACCATGGGTGCACCAAGATCTAATCAAGCCGAATCCGATACTCTTGATTTACATCAGCTTGAAGACATCGCTCGAAAACGATTGAGATGTTCAATATCATCATCAACAATTATTCGACTTCGTTTACCAGATATTTCCACGCCACTGTGCATACCAATTGATTTACATCGTACGCTAGCAGATGTACGAAAGTTTCTCGCAGAGAACATTCCGTCCCTCCAATCAAACACATTCGAATTCATGGAACCACCATCAACACGCATTCAGCGTGATGATGAAAACCAACGAATCAAAGATTCGAAACTGTCGAACTCCACGCTTGTTGTTCGACGAACTGGTTAATAAAAATACATTGTTTCAGAGCTATCTGCTATGTATGTAAACAGAACTCAAACGAATGCTTTTTAGTTTGAAAAGTTTTCCTTATTTTTTTACACTTCAATAGTGTTCTAATCAGAATTCAATAAAATCGAGATCGAATATGCTAAAACGATTTTATTAATTAACAAAAATTTGTTTTAGGTTAGTCAAACATCCAAATGATTAACATCGATGGATCGTATCTCGAAGGTGTAGGTTCGACGCCAGTGACTCTGCATCGTTTCTTAATCCATTTTCTCCGTTGAAGGGTGGTCAAATATTGCGTAATGCCACAACATTGAGTGTTATTTTAAATATTCCTGTTCACGTGACAAACATCCGAGCAGGTCGATCTCAAGATGGATTACGGCCTCAGCATCTGACTAGTATTCAATTATTGGCGGAATTCTCCGAAGCAACACTTGACCGGGCAACGATTGGTACAACAGATATTCAATTCACACCAAAAACGATCAAAAATGGCAACTATACTGGTGATACCAAAACAGCTGGGTATGATCTGTTTATATTTGTTCAATGATCAAGGAATATAAAAGATATTCTTTGCTTAGAAGTGTCTGTTTAATGATGCAAACTGCTCTCCCTTGTTTACTTTTTGCTAATGGACCTTCGGAATTGAAATTGATCGGAGGAACAAATGTTGATTTTGCTCCAGATATTGATTACTATGAAATGGTATGTTAGAAATCACTAGTATGTGTAAAGAATGTCGTTGTTTCAATAGATTTTTCGGCCAGTCGCTAAACGATTTAATTTCAATTTCAATTTGAACATTGTTCGAAGGTTAAAAATGTTTTTATCATCGGTTGAATGTTACAAATCGTATGATTTTATAGAGGCTACTATCCGAAAGGTGGAGGTGATGTTCGCATTACGATCGATCCAGTCGAACAGTTAAATGCCGTTGATCTAACAGAATTTGGACAAATTAACCGATTTTTCGGTCGATCTTTTGTTGCTGGCAATCTTCCTTTACAGGTAACATAGAACTACAAGTGAAATCTCACTCGCCGTTGTGTGCATGTAGGTTGCCGAAGAACTTGCTGAAGCCAGTAGAAAGTTGATACGACAGCATTATACCGAAGAGCTTCCAATAGAAATTGAAATTGTTAAGGAGCCGGATCAAATAGCTACTGGAACAGCAAACGGTATTATGTAAGGTGTAAACTTTATACAAGTAGTATTTTCTAAGTGAATGATAATAATTGTTTTAGAATAGCAGCAGAAACTACTACAGGTTGTCTGTTAGCAGCGAATGTATTAGGTAAACGTGGAAAATCAGCATCCGAAGTTGCGATAGAAGCAACTGAACAATTATTGAAAGATTTATCATGCAAAGCATGTGTTGACCGATATTTAGAGGATCAAGTGAGCTTAATTGTTCGATCGTAGTTTCATCTGATCTTGATTGACACTGATAGTTAATTCTACTGATGGCACTGGCAAAAGGACGTTCGAGAATTCGATGTGGACCCTTATCTGATCGTACCAAAACAGCAATTTACGTAGTCGAACATCTAACAAATGTAAGTTGTTGCTTTTCGAATGGATTTATACGAGATTATCATTATTCTAAAGGTAAAATTCCAAGTTACAGACGATAATTCACCTGCTTTTCATGGTACTATTCTGATTGAATGTGAAGGTCTTGGCTATCAACGACGGCATTGAAAAATCTCACGTTCTCGAGATACATTTGTGAATCTCGGCAATTTGTTTATTTTCCTCATAAGGGCAATACAGTTTTCCACATGTTCTTATTCTACTAACATTAAAATAAATTTCATCTTGCTGTTTTTATTTGTTTTGATTCTACAGAAGTTTTTTTCTTCATAATTTCGTACAGATATGGTCGTTAGAAGATCATTTCGAAGTGTATGACATCGCGCGAGAGAAAAACGAGATTTTTTTGTCGCTGTTCTCGAACTAGAGAACGTATGGCGTGTGTTTTTTTCTCCTCGCTGCTTAGGCCATTTTTTTTCATTTATTTTTGAAGTAAAAAAAGAAACAGAAAGAGGAGAAAAACGAGGGATAAGAACGAAAAATGAAGCACGAAGGAATAAAAAACGGACGTAGTGATGATAGTATAATATGTGCACTTTACTGTCATGTACTTCGTCGGAGAGTGAGTCAATAAAAAAAAGGAGTGATAGTAGGTTTTTCTTGAGAAAGTTTAGGCAGAATTCATAGATCCAATGATGAATGATTTTTATTAGACACTCGCGAAAGAAACGACAAGAAATCTGAAGTGAAAAATAAACGTCTTTCACAAACAATTGGATTCATCCTTGAGAAGAAATCAAATGCAAAAACAGTACGAACACGTGAACCCTTTTTCTTTCATCACTGTCCCGACTTATCGTTCGTAAAAGTTAATACGTCGAATCCCTCGCTAGCGAGATCACGTACGATGAATTACAGTTCGTTCCGACAGACACTCTTACGTTGCTTTTGCATCGATCACGTTATGTTTTTTTCCTATTTATTGGATAGTATTTCGATGGAAACTTGAACGATTGGATTCCACGTGTATTCGTTAACCAATTGGATAGGCGGATATATGATGTCAACAATATCCATATGGTAGTTCGAGAGGGAGGACAATATATGGATGTATAGATATTTTCTTCTCTTCTTTGCCTTTCTTTTGTCCTTCCTTTTCTCTAGGTTGTTTTTTATATATTATTATAGAAGAAAAGCAATCGATTAACTCGTTCTCACTGTGTTATCTATCTTTCTTCTTCTTCTGTTTTTTTCTTCTCACTTAAGATCGACATCGACGCGTGTATGTTTTATATGTGTATCCCTTCTCATTCTGATATCTGCCTGAATTCTTCTAATCACCAATTCGAACAAACCAACTGAAATCCTATCAGTAGTTATCAGCTTCAAGTTTCTCTCTCGACATGGCGATTCTAATAAAGGTCGTTCTGTTCCAATGTCTTTCCCTACAACATTCCTTCGGCAGAACGATAGAGAAAGAAGTTCTAGATTGAGAGAAATCAGTGAACTTTTATCTCTTTCTTCTCTCTCTCTATCTTCTTTAGCGTAAAACTGTTGTTTATATCTTTCTAGACGACGTTGTATTACCTCCTTCGCCACTTTTTAGTCCTTGTCCTTACTATACAGTGTACTTCATACAACGGAGGATATTACATCAACATCAATGCACAATTGTGCTTTCCATTTTCTTCTTTCTTTCTCTTCTCCTGCGCCTTTTTAACGTCGATTTCGACAGTGTTTTCCTATTGCCACTAGCAGCGCAGTTTATGTTGTTATGACATTTACGAAAACTATTTATATCTCTTCGAATACTTGTTCGTTTTGGTCGAAATGACATTATTCGATTTTCTTTGTAGAATTTATTCTTGTTCGTTCAACCTTCGTCGAATTCATTTGTTTCTCTAACAGCAAATTATGAAACAAGCGAATGAAAATCCTTTAGCATGCAATGGACATCCGGAAGATTTAGGTAAAACACGTAAAGATTCGGATAATGATGATTCAGCAACAAATACAAGTTCAACATCGTCCATCAATGATGTGCCGTTAAATAATTGCCCTAATACATCATCGTCGTCATCGTCCAATTTGAATACAAGTGAAGTAACAACAAATCCAGATAGTGCCAATGAATTAGTTGTTCTACCTGAAGTTTCATTTAATATTCGAATTCAATCATCAGGCTTAGAAGTTTTCGACTTACCCGTACGGATTGTTGAGAGTGTTTTTTTCCCAATGATTCGACTCGTCTTGTCGTGTTTAGGTCACATCGAGTGAACTTGTTCAAGAAATCCATCAAGTTCTAATGGATAAAGAAGAAACATGCCATCGAACGTGTTTCTCTTTACAACTCGACGGTGTTATTTTGGATAACTTCACTGAATTAAAAAATATCGAGGGATTAAAAGAAGGAAGTTTATTAAAAGTTGTCGAAGGTCTGTTCGAATCGACATTTCCTCTGTCAAAGAAAAAAGCGATTCCCATTTAGAACAATATACCGTCCGTGAAGTACGAATTCACGTACGACATATCAATGAATTGATTCATTCATGTGATTTGAACGATTTATACAACGGCACAAATGGTTATTCATTATGTCTTGTTAATGATATAACTAGTAATGATACACCAGCAGCATCCGCACCGACTGGTATGAAGATCACTCAACATAGATCTTTTCGTACTCCTATGTTTGGTTTTAGATCGAAAGAAAGGCGCTGATATGAACGAAAGCGATACCAATGTCCCTGAATATCTTCTACCAAATCAAAACAACATTCTCCTTACACCGCTATTCTCAACGAATAATAAAGTCAATGTAAATAATTATCGATTTATACTCTTGTTCAGTTTTGTATAAACAATGATGATTAGACATGCATTTATGAACATGAGGAATGATTAGCAATGTTCAAAAATGCATTCTTAATTTCTTCCATCTGGAATCATTGCTTACACGGAGAACTTTCATGAGATAATAAATTTCATTTATTGTTTTTCTTTTTCTAGCGATTGCAATGTCTGAAAGTTTTCGCATATAGCGGCTGGAATCCACCAAATGGTTCAAGAAAACTACATGGTGAGTTATATAAGAGAGATTTCTAACAGTAACGATAAACTATCCTAATTTCGATTAGGTGATCTCATGTATTTACAAGTCACAACGTGCGAAGAGAAATCTTTTCATATCACAGCATGTACGAAAGGTTTCTACGTCAGTCAGTAAGTATCTTCGAGTATCACCACAGAAGCAATGTACGATGCGATTCATTTGTACAATAGAACAACAGAGGAAAAATTTCTTCCTAAACCGGTGCAACCCAAAGCTATTTTTCATTCACTTGTCGATCTATTGAACAGCGTAAGAGAAGGAAATTTGTGAATCTTGGGCATCCTAGTTTATCGGTTGGATCTTGTTTTCAGTTAAGTCCAGCATTCAAGAAGAAATTTGCTGCTATTCAACGTAAGCGTTGTACAAAACATCCATTCGAACGTATTCAAGTACCATACCAAATTCATCCATGGTTATCACCACGTTTCGAACATACAATGGATCACTTCCGAGCTGAAGATGGTAGGAAACTTGCTCGTCTTTGTACAAAGTTGAATCCATGATTCATTTAGCAAACATTAACAAACTTGGCCATGAAGATCACATACCCGGTCAAGTGCGTGATTGGAATGAAGAATTACAAATAACCAAAGAATTGCCGAAGAAAACTTTACCAGAAAGGCTGATCCGAGAGCGTGCAATGTTCAAAGTAGAGAATCTTCAAAGTTAATCGTCTGAAAAGATATACATCCGTTGATTTTCTAGGTTCATAGTGATTTCGTTTCAGCAGCGATTCGTGGTTGTCAAGCAGTTGTTGATGGAAACATCATGGCAATTAATCCTGGTGAAGAATCTAAGTATATCAAGTTTTCCTCCTAATCTAATTGATTCAAAGTCGATGTTTTTCATCTAGAGTTCACATGTATATTTGGAACAATATGTTCTTCAGTCTCGGCTTTGATGTTAAAGAGCATTACAAAGATTTCGGTGGTGATGCAGCTGCTCATGCTGCCCCGACGAATGACTTGCAAGGTGTTCGTGCGATCAATACATTAGATCTCGATGGTTTACACACATTGGGTACTATCGTTGTCGATTATCGCGGCATGCGTGTAACCGCCCAGTCAATCGTTCCCGGTAAGTTATCGATCGTTTCTGTTGTTGTTTTTTTCGTTCTAAACATCGGCAGTATCAGCGAGAGAGAGCGAGAGAGAGAAAGAGAAGAAAAATATAATAGACAGAATTTGCACGCCTTCTACTAAACATCTTGTATGATGTTGATGTTTTACCGTCGACAGCGATATGTTTTGTTAATATTTCTCCTCCTGAGTATTTTCGTCATCTACAAATCAAATCGAGTGCAAAGGTATATTCTCACGGATGAACATCGCATCTATACATCATTAATTGCGGAATTGCCACGTCTTGAACGTGTAATTCGAACGAAACAATCGAACTTATCTCAGTTACAAACTCGCCTATCGAAAGTGGAAAAACGCTTAACGAAATATTCCTGGCATTTGAATCGTTTAATCAAAACAATTCGTCGTAACACCCAAGAACAAAAACAAAGTTCACGTTTCAATTCATTTGACTTCGATTTTGATCGAAATCAAAGCAAATTTCTCGTCTATTTCCACTTCACCAATATCTCAGAAGATCTTGACCTTCATAGCTCACACGAATTTCATTCCAGAATTCGCCAAATCCAAAGTCCTTATATAACATTCAATGAGAGTGAAGCGTACTTACATGTAGTTTATCTTCCAATTCGATCAAATAAACAAAACATATGTTACAAAAATATTCTCGATGAAAAATATTTCGTCCTGTATGAATTTACCGGTGGTATTAACGAACAGTTTGATGAACAATGCTTTCAAGGAAAGTTTTTATTAGTCAAGTTTTTCACACAATTTGATGTTGATACTGACCATTTACGTTGGAATGAGTTCCCACAAACGTCAATCGGCATTCTTTATCTCGACAGAAATGGTAAGTCCATCGTACATTGACAACAATTCGAATAATTTTTGTTCGTTTTCAGCCACCAAATCTCGGAATGAATTCGATCGATTGCAAAGCAATTATAACGTCACTGTTGAGTGTTCTGATGTAACCTGTCTTTTCAGTAAGAATCTTTCTATGGTATCGATCATCTGTCCTCCATTGTATTCGATTCGAATCCACAACCAATTTTATGAATTGTTCTTTCATCTACTCTCTGAACAAATCGATCTTCTCGTTCCAACTTGCCAGTACTATCTCCCATATTCAAAAGTTATCGATTATTCGCGTAAATCAACGCCAACCAGTCTCGCTTGGCTATACGCAATCTACTTCCAAACATTCGAACATCGTCTTCATACATTAATCGCATATTTACGTACTTTGTATCGTCAACCAGCACTGGCCAAGCCATCAAAATTTGTTGAAGTTAAAACTCGATTGATCAGAGAAGACAACTTTTATTATTTAATCCATGAACGACACATAAATTTCACTCAAATGCCAATTGGGATTATGGATGGCATAAGTTTTCAGTCGTACCACAAATCGTCCATAGTTTACGAGCCAACATTGTACGATCAATGGAACCGTTTGTATCAACCATTTTATCGCTCAAATACTCAAACGAATCCATTTGAAAGCATATCACCCGAAGAGCAATACACCATTCTGATTTTAACATACAAACAACGTTTCTATCAACTGAATCGTCTGCTATTGCATTTGAATGGTTTAATCAATCTTCACCGTATCGTTGTTTTATTCAATCAGATCGATCCGATGGGTTCACCATCACAGACAAATTTCACATTAGAAGATTTTCTCGGCGATTATCACGTTTATCTACCATCGATACACGTGGAAATTGTTTATCTGTTCAATCTACCCAATGATTTGAACAATCGTTTTCGTCCTTGGAATGAATTCATTCAAACCGATTGTATTCTATCGTTAGATGACGATAGTTTTCTTCGACACGATGAAATCGAATACGGTTTTCGCGTTTGGAAGGAAAATCCTTCTCGTTTAATCGGTTTCATCTCGCGTTCACATCGATCGAACACATTGCAATACGACACTTCACCTTCGCAGTGTATCTACTCAATGATTCTAACGGGAGCCGCCTTCTTACATCGTTGGTATTTGGATTTCTATACGCATGTCATGTCGAAGCAAATTCGTGATTATGTCCAAAGAAAAATGAATTGCGAAGATATCGCGATGAATTTTCTCATCAGTTATTTGACAAATCAAACGCCGATGAAGATTGGCCATCGCGAAACATTTCACTGCTATAAATGTCAAGAAAGTCTATCGAATAAAGTGACTCACTACCAACAACGAACTGAATGTTTGAAATATTTTTCTCATATCTATCGTTTCGTACCTTTGCGCTATTCTGTTTATCATCTTGATAATCTATTAAATCTGACATCTTGTTTCTCGTCGAATTCAATCTAAATATTTCTTCGTCTCTTTAGGTATTCTCGAAAAAGAACAAGAACAGAGCGTCGTGTATGGCTCGACAGATTTCGGTAAAACTTGTACAACCAATGATAAATACAAAGAACTATTGGATAAAGTATCGACAATGCTTAAAATTAAACCACATGCAGTGAAAACCGAGAAAGGAGAGGTTGTGGATCTGTTGACAGCTGTAGAATGTAAAGGAATCGTTGGTAATGATGGAAGACATTATTTGTTAGATTTATTGCGTATGACTCCACCGGATTTGAATTATTTACCAGGTAAAGTTTTGTTTGGTAGTGAAACTGTTCAAATGAGATTTTTTAGTCGATGTCGAACATCTGTCACCGGCGATGAAACAACTTGAGTATCCGAAAACGTACAAACATCGTCTATGCTGTTTAAGACAAGAATTAATCGATGCTTTCATCGAGTGAGAACTGTTTGTGTGTAGACGGTCGATGAAAACGTTCATATTTAGACAAAAATACGTGGATTTCTATCGTTCGATTGCACTCAATCTATCGAAATTACGATCAGCTGAAGTATGTTGACGTACGATTAAATTAAACATGCGTTTCACGGTTGATATTTAGTCAACATCAAATGAAAATGCTGAACGAACAAATGTTGAAGAAGCTAAACGTATTGTCAATGAAATCAGTGGTAACATTCATTTGTATTCATATGACGCGGTGATCTACTTATTGCTTTTTCTTCAGTTGAAGATAATAGTCGAGAAATCATTCAATCCGCATGTCGTTCGATTGGATCTGTGAAAGACAATGAATTCGATGTTCGTTTCAATCCAGATTTATTTCAACCACATGTCACATTAAACCAAACAGTATGCAATATGGCCATTGCCCTTTTTTTTACGAGAAAAATGTTCGTTTTAGGCAGCAGAAACAGCAGCAGATATTAAATTACTCAAAGAAGCTGCTGAATATTTAGTATTGAAACAAATTCCATTAATGATTCAGGATTTTCAAGATCATTCATCTGTACCTGTTGATGGCGAAAGCCTTTCCGAATCTATGCATTCAAGGTACATCAACACTATATCCACATCTAACTAAAAATCAGTTTTTACTATCTTCTAGAGGTATCAACATGCGATATCTTGGCCGAGTTGCTGATCTTCTCGCTCAACAATCGTCTCTCATCTATCTTTATGTATGTATGACGATTCTCACGAAATCTATCATTGAACTTTTCGTTTCAGGAAATTGCTGTCACTGAAATTCTCTGTCGAAGTGCTAAACACGTATTTCGTGCATATACTCAATCCGTTCCAATTCATTTATTATCATTTTCAATCAGTCATTTTCTCAATTGTTTGCTTACAGTTATATCATCACCTGTGTCTGATTATTCATTTGATGAATTTGCAACATCGACATCGACGACGAGCACATCGAGCGGATCACTAGCCAATTCAACGAATACTACTTCTCAAAAACCAAACAATAAGAAGAAAAATAAAAAACAACAACAGCAGCGTAAACATAATCCAACAATGAGAAATGGTAATAAAAAGGATTTGGTCAGCTTCCATTAACTACAAGCGATTTTCTTTAGAATCGATGGAATTTTCGTCGTTAACTTCGAAATTACTCTGGATACAGTTGACTAATGAAGCCAAATCGAGATATGGTTTCGACTTAAACTGGTACGAGAACATATTTTCAATCTCGAGAGATGCAACCATCTTCTCTTTTCACTCTAGTGATGATATTGAAGCTTTCGTCGACACATATTCTGTTCGCCGCACATGCATCTTACGATCACTCTGCCTTAAGACTGGCTTACAATTAGCCATGCGCGAGTATCAATATGATTCAGCTTACAAATCATCTCGCACCAGCAACGAATGTTTCACTGAAGATGATATTGTCAATATTTACCCAGTTATCAAGCAAGTTCCGCCCAAGGTACGATCGAACGAAGGCAACAAGGATAGGATTTATATCGTATATTCATTTTAGCCAAGTGATGCTTATCAATTCTTCACGACTGGACAACAAAAAATTCAACAAGGCTTACTTCGCGAAGGTTTCGAATTGATTTCTGAAGCACACAATCTATTGAACAATGTCTACGGCCCAATGCACCCAGAGATCAGCATGTGTCTACGATTATTAGCACGATTGAATTACATCATGGGTGATTATCAAGAAGCACTCTTTACTCAACATAAAGCTGTTATGATGTCTGAACGAGTCTTGGGTGTTGATCACCCACAAACAGCAACTGAATACGTATGTGACAAAACTTATTCATCTTAGAATCGTGAGGCAAATGTTGGTCTTTAGATTCATATGGCTTTGTATTCATTTGCGAATAATCTATCGGTGAATGCAGCGAAATTGCTTTGCCGTGCGCGATATATTATATTAACGTGCTGTGGAGAAAATCATCCACAAATCAGTTTGATCGACGTAAGGAAGTCAAGGTTGTACTTTTGCAATGATTGTTTCTTTTTGTTTTACTTCTAGAGCAATCTTGGATTGATCCTACAATCGTACGGTGATTATGAAAATGCACTTAAATTTATGGAAAAGTCGCTTGAATTGAATAAGACGTGAGTGGCAATTAGTGTGGTATACGGAAGTCAGTTGAAACGTTGATTTTCAGGTTCTATGGAACGAGGAGTTTGAAAGTTGCTTTATCACATCATTTATGTGCACGTATTCAATCATGTCGTGGTGATTTCCGATCAGCATTGAACAGTGAACGTGAAGCATATCAAATCTATAAACTACAAGTAGATAAACTTTTTTTTTCATCGTAAAATATTATGGCTTTTTGTTAGCTTGGTGATGAACATGAACGAACACGTGAAAGTGCTCAGGTACTTAAACATTTAACTGAACAAGCTGTGGTTCTACAGAAACGAATAAATGACGTTGTGAAAGGACAATTACTCGTTATCCCAAGTTTAACCGTAAATATCGTTTTTTTTTCAATTGACTTATCTCCGTTTATTCGATTCTGCTTAGATTCAACAGCCAAGTTTCCAGAACGTTCTCGAGATGTTAAATGTTGTCAATGGTATTCTATTTATTCAAATCCGAGAAAAAGATCTTGATATCATTCGTGAAGAAATCGCTAAACAGTCCACTGACGATTCTCAACAGCAACCATCCACACCTTCAGTAACAACCATATCCGATGCTGCAGAACAAGCCGCAGCATTGATGAACAATGAAGTTGACTAACACACACACACACATAAGCGTTGATTTCAGTCTGATACCTTCTTTTCTGCTCCATTTTGTTCTTGGTAGTATCTAGGAAAATTTTTCTGTTTTTCTATATACGTATTTGTCGGTGTGTGTGTGTGTGTCTTGAAGAAAAGCAAACTATTGTTGTCTAGTCTTTTTGTGTAGAACCGTTTGTTTCTTTAGTTTACCACATTAACCTGTTGATCGTGTGATCCCCGAGTGTTCGACTAGATAATCGTGTTATCTGTTTTGTGAACTACTTGTCGAAAAGGTTTTTGTTTCGATGCCAGTAGTTAGTCTACCTCTGTTCTGTTTGCCGTTCTTTCACACTATTTGTTTTTCTTTCTCTCATTTAACTATGTTACGATGCTATTGACCGAGAACAGTAGCAATAATATAGTTTATTTTGTTTTTGTTCCTTGAAATATGAACTGTTTATTGACCGATGGGAATTTGTTTTGCAGATTTCAACTCATGCTGTTCTCACCGAGGAGATAGCTGAAAATTGCAACCAGATTTGAGTATGAGACAGTTTTCATCGTTCGTGTTTAGTCATGTTCTAATTTTCAGTAATAAATCAACACAAAAGAAGCGTATTTACAAGGAAAGATCTGAATTAACACATGAGAATTCGAGAGGAGAAAATTTAAAAACCAACTAATATAAACGATACAAGAGTATAAAGTACAAAAGTAAAACCAATTTCAATTAAAAACAATGTACGACGTCGTTTGTAGTCGGATTTCTCTCCGAAAAACACATAATTCCAACCATTGAACTAAACATAACACAGCGAGCAATGTAAATTCGTACTTAACTGATCAATACTCACAGTATAAAATCCACATAAGATAGCTGCAGCTAGTGCAGCACTGAGAAAATGATGTTTTCGAATATCGAAAGCGATCAATAATATATTCAATAGAAATGCATTGAATAAAGTTCCAACATTGGACATCAGAATGGATGTTTTATCACAAACAGCACCTTCTTTCCATAGTGTTGCTTGTAGCCATTGTTTTTGAAAAAACTTCGGTGAATACCATACATAACCGAGTAGCATGTTCGTAGCAATGACTAAGATTGTTTTTGACAATGCTGTCAATGTAAAATCGATAGGTAAAAGTTCTAACATAATGAGGGAGAGAAGAAATAGTTTAAGCAACTAACGATCGACGAAAAGGAATCGAAATGACGAGAAGAATACGAAAATATGTGTCTTTGTTCATCGAAATACAATGCACGGGTCTTGTCATCCCTCGAACTCTTTGTGCACAAGTTAGGGAAGTATAGAGAGAGATAAGTAGGTGAAAATGTAGAATCATTTGGAGATATTTTACAAAAACTAGAACAGGATTGATGAGTGCGGGTGAAAAGAGCGCACTACAGTCAATGCGAAACGAAGATTAGTAAGTGACATCATGTACACAAGGTGCGTGATTAGAAGCAAAGTTCAAGTTATGCTGAATTTCTTGTAGCATACGACTCATAAACTGAAAGTACATGCAGCTCCACACTAGTTCGTTGTCACTGCTCTTTGTTTCTTTCGATAAGATAACGACCTGTGATGCATAAAGTCATCATCATCATAAGAACAAAACAATGCGTGGAGAGTTGTAAGTTCTGTTGGTTTTAATGAAACAAAAGACGATAAATTTATGGGTTGTAAACAAGTGAAAGTTAATCCAACTGAACCAGTGAATGAAATTGAATTACAGCAGACTCAGACGGACATAACACAAGAGAACGTTGCTGCGGATAGTTCACTAATTCGATCGAATAGACAAGCAAGACTCAGTTATATAAGTCCATTCGCCACATCTACGTTGACGACCTTTGAAAACACTAATCTAACTCAGCCACACAACCATTCAAATCCAACCGTACCAATACCACTGCCATCCGACAGAGACACTATTACCGATACTATTGAAAATAATAGACACAACGAACCACATTCAATATTAGCTGCCACAGGAGAGCCAGTAGCCTTTCGTCAGAGTAATAATCCCAGACGTGTAACTATCAACGACGATCTATCAATTTATGAAAATAGTAGTGTAACCATCGAATCGGATGAGTTAGAGGAATCCTCTACTGCCCATCGTTCTTTTCTCTCATCAACAAGCCAAGCCGAAGTCTTGGAATACAGTAACGATGCCATTCAGAGATTTATGTCTGCTAGACCCAACCGAACAACTCATCGGGGATCAACACATCACGGTATGTGGAGTGAACAAGATGACTTGTATTCTGTACGTGATAGTATTGTTAGCAGTGTATCTGCGGATTCCGAAGGATCCGTTACCAAACCACCACGAGCTCCTAAAGCAATATTCGTTCATCCAAAGAAATCATATTTGAAGAAGAAAAATCTCGTCAAGCAATCGTCCAGTGATCACGAAGGCTCGGAGTTACAGAATGTCAATGATGCGAATTCAGCACCTGTAGGTATGCATGCGATGACCGAACGGCTCGTGTCTAATCTTGGCTCTGCGAAGTTGAGCAATCCAGGTTTTACGTCTCATGGTGCAATCAGTGAAACGACAAGTGAATCTGACGACAAAGAATTCTAATGGTTTCGAAGATATGTCTCACATAATCGGTGCAAAACTTTGCTGCAAAGTTACATCGTTCTAGATAGTTGTATTTAGTTTAGCAAAAGCGATGTTTCATGTGAAAACATCGAGAGCTTTTGTCAATGAACAAGCTTTATGTCTGTACATTGTTGTGTCAAGAAAAGAAGTGCATGAAAATAAATACGATGAGATATGTAAAAGCAAATAAACAATTCTTTTCTTCTCGTAATGATAAAACTGATAACACTAACATGTTACTCATTCATAATTTCATCACAAGATTTTCATTTCATTTATAGATGCCACTATTAAATGCCTTCATTGATTCAATTGTCTGCGTTGGTTTCAATTCTGAACATGGTTTTACTCCTGAACGACAGTTAGATGATAGCCCTTCTCTCCTCGCATCAAAATTGAAACCATACGTCTTAGCAATTCTCACTGCTGATCAGGCCATCTACCCTCGATCGAAAGGTACTGATGTCATAGATCAATTCTATCCATCGGTATGCTATACACCATCATCGACAATCCCGAGATCGCAAAAGAAACCGACTATACCTGCCGCGTATAAGGACCTACCCGTTTTCTGTTCGCCGGATGGTGTCAAATTATCCTATGAACCAGTTCAAAGTCGAATCCATCATATTGTTTTTACACAAGAAGATGGTAAACGTAGTTATGTTGTTGTTTTGACATTTTCGGAAAAGTTTATTCTCAAAACTGATAAACCAGACGATGATGGACGATATCACATCGAATCATTTTCGACAAAAAAATCGAAAAGAAAAATACCATCGTCCTATCCTGGTAATACCGCTGTACCTCAAAAAAGTACGGCACCAACCGGCGGTTCTCGTATGCGAGAACGTTCAAACTCGAATGCATCCAATCGTGTATCAACAACGATTTTCAATGCACACGAACCATTCTATTTACCTCATTGTCTCGTTCTTATTTCTTCTCATCCATATTGGAGAGCAATGCAAGAAACAATTTCTATCATCCATGACGAAATAATTCACTCAAATATTGAACCCAGTTCGAATACATACAAACAACTCATACAAAAATACGCCTTTCTCGCTTGTCATACACCGATACCACCTGCCTCATGGGAACATTTTTCACTTCCATTGACAGTGACAAATAAAGAGTATGTGCTAACATTAGATCCACCATTGAATCCCAATCGTCCAGTCCTTGACATCGACCTATCTTTACTTTTGTTAACACTCAACATAGGCAAATTACTCGATGTACTATCAGCAATATTAACTCAACAACCAATTATTTTCTTCAGTTCAGATTATTCAAAATTAGTAGCAACACTTGAATGCCTTCTGTATCTAATATACCCGTTTAAATGGATACATATCTACGTTCCAATCGTCCCAGATGGTTTATCTGACTACTATCTCGAAGGCCCACCCGGCTCATACATCATGGGTGTTCATTCCCGGCATCAATCCATTGTTGAATCTTTGAATTATTGTTTAACTTGTAATTTAGATACCGATGAGAATCTTCAAATACCATCAATGATTCCATTTTATCCCATTCCACCAGCAAATCTTCGTCATTTTGTTGGACCGATCACTCAGTTCACCGAACAAATAAAAACTGCTCGATCCTTACAAAACATGAATACATTAGGCCGGTTACGTATTGACCAACAACGCGAGCTAGACCGTCAAGATCGTATTGCGACAAACTATCGAATTATCGAAATCTTCCTCGATTTGATGGTTGATCTATGTGCGGATACATTACAGCCGATCTATTGGATGATCAATCATCAACAAAAATCTTCATCAAATTCTTTGCCAAGAACATCAACGTTGGAAAGAACGAATCGCATTTCGAATCAGACATCATTTCGAAAAGAGAAATATCTATTGTCAAAAACTGAAGGAGTTGAACAGGAGTTTTACAAACTATTTCTTGATAGCACCGCATTTCAACTTTTTCTCGAAGAAGAAATCGCATCGGAAACTTCGACAGAATTTCAGAAAATTTCGCAATTACGTTCCCATACAAATCAAGACCCAACATTTCATTTCAATACTGATTCCGCAGATGAACATGTAAATCCATTTTTCTTTCCCTCCATTCTATCCATATCTCTTTCCTATTTAAAAGGTTCATTCCACGATATCGTTATTCAACACAACCATAGGTCAACTATTTCTACCGCTGCCAGATTGGCCAACAGACGTAACTACACATTACCTTGACAGTTGTATAGAAATACTCACCATTGAATTCGACATCGCACAAGAAGAATCATCCCAACCAATGATAACATTCTATGCTTACTTACGTGGTTGTGCATTGCTGTCTCGTGGAAGATTGATCGAAGGTCTTCAAGACTTATACCTAATTGACAATCCAAATCTATTTCCAAAAACGTATATCGAAACGGTAATCGTACCTCAACTTTCCGAAACGAATAGTCTTGATCTATTTCTTCACGAGTCGTTTTACACCCATTGCCTCGAATGGAAAAAAATACAAACGCAATCAACACATTCCAATGTGCTAAACAATAACACCGATACATATAGGAACCCATCAGATGACCATAATGATATCAAATCTCCTACTCCACCGAAAGATCATCTCTCGTTCGAACAATTTTATGAGTACATACAAAGGTTAAGCATTGTCAACGACAGAGAAATTGCCAAGATTATCTTCGATGCTTTGCTGCAATCATCCACTGGATCGAGAAAGCCAGCGGCAGATACTCTCAAACAGCGTCGACGATGGTCGATAAGCGGTGGTATCTTCGATAGAACATATGACACACTCAGCAATTCTCATCAGCCAGCACAAAACAATATTTCATTATCAAGCAAACATTTTGAACAATTTTCGGACATTTGGCAACAGACTAATGCTGAAAAAGCACGCATAAATTCTCACCTGCCAAAAGATCGACAAAAATATGAAACTATACTCATAGTAAGATGAGCCATCTCTTGCTTAATATAATTTCATTTTGATTTACTTTTTAGATATCATCATTTGATATTGTTTCGAGAAAAGACGTCAATGCGAAATTAATTCTCACTCAAAGAAGTCTTTATTCGTTTCATGATGCTCATTCATCTGCTCGCCTTCTCACCGAAGTATCGAATATCGTTTTCATCGAAACTTACCAACATAAAGCTTTATTTACATCGGCAAAACCAGCTATTCGAATATTCGCAATGCGTGAGTCTCAGAAACCGTCTTCTGCATCTGAACAAAAGCCTGAGCCAGTGATGGTACTTCTCTGTAAAGATAATCAAGAACAAAATTTCTGGTATAAAATTCTCCAAGAACTCTGGTTTGCTGTATTGATAGCCCAAAAGGAATGCGATACCATTATTTTACATAAAGCGTCCAGACACATCAATCTCATCGATACGTTGGCATCGATCGATTATAATAAACAAATCTTACCTGCGAAACTACTAGAAAAACCAAAGCAAAATTACCATCAGGTAAGTCTGACTCGAGTAATACCATTGTTCAATCAATCATATTTTCATTTCTAGATGAATTTGGA